AGAAGGGATCATCAGAAAAGGTTCAAAGTCTTGAATGACAGTAAAACAAGAATAGCAGAGAACTGTTATAATGCACTGAAGAAGGAACACAGAAGAATAAACACATAAGCACAAGAATGTCCTGTTTCACAGAAGAATGCAGTCATGGATCAAACAACTTGGACTAAGATCCCAACACCACCCTTCACAGTAGATTATCTTATCCAGGCAGTTAATTCTGTTCAAAGTTTAAGGTGACCCAAAATATTCTGTCAGCTTCTTTAAACTAACCTCTTTTTTTCTCCATCTTCTTAACTTCTGTTTTCTTGCCTTCTTCTTTACTCTGCCTATTAAAAACATTGAAGTGTATTTACAAAATTGTAAAATCTGTTTTTCAGTCTTTTTTCCCTCTAGTTTTTAGATGAGATGTCATGTTTTGACATACTATTTCTGTAAAATATTAGCATGCAAAAACCACAATGAACTAAGCCCTGGTTTTCACAGACTGAAAAAAAAATAAATAAAAGTTACTTACTTAGCTGTGATATTGCTGATAAATCACACACTGACAGACTGTTTTCCCCCAGAAAAGAAAATTACAGGTTTATAAAGACAAGTCACATTTGTGAACTATACTCTGTTTTGATTGCATGTGCAAATTTGAAAAATGGCATTGTACAAAGCTAATTTTGTAGGGAAAAAATGCTTTATGATGACAGAAAAAGTGAACCAAAAAAAAGAGCAATACTACTATTTAACGTTACCATAGGGAATTATGGAAAGATAAGTTAATAATAATCAGTTAGTATGTGATTTCAGTCCTGATCTGGTTATTACATCATATTTATCCTACAACTGACCTGTAACGTATCAATGATAACTTAAATCTCCTGGACATAAATACTACTAAAGAAAATTGTGATTTAACCAAATTATGATTTATGATTAAGATAATTATGAATTATGATTAAGATAATTATGAATTAACCAAAATCTCCTGCCTCTTTCTAATTGCCTTTCTAAAGTAAAGCTGGAACTCAAGAAAACAAAACAAAAAAAATACCTTCATCTGTCTTAGAAGAGGAAGGCAAGCAAAAACCTTTCAAACCAGATTAACTTTTTTCAGAGAAGATCATTAAACTGTTTTACAATTCCTCATTCTTGTCTTACTGAGGGGTTCCAAAGCCTTATTTTATAATTATAATCAGCCCTGATGAGAAGAAGCTGGGGTCTGCTTGATGAGAAGCTCAGTATGAGCTGGCAATGTGCGCATGCAGCCCAGAAAGCCAGCTGTATCCTGGGCTGCACTGAAAGAAGCATGGCCAGCAGGGCGAGGGAGGTGAGTGTCCCCCTCTGCTCTGCTCTCATGGGACCCCACCTGGAGCCCTGCGTTCAGCTCTGGGGCCCCCAGTGCAAGAAGGATTTCAGAAGTATGAGTACAGAGGAGTGCCATGAGGATGTTCAGAGGGCTGGAGCACCTCTCCTATGAAGGCTGTAGAAGCTGGGGCTGTTCAGCCTGGAGAAGAGAAGACTATGGGGAGACATTGCCACACCCTTCCAGTACCTAATGGGGGCAGGAGAGGGACTCTGGCAGGCAGGGAGTGGAGTGGTAAGACAAGGGGGAACGGCTTTAAACTAAAAGCGGGTAGGTTTAGATTAGACATAAGGAGGAAATTTTTCACTCAGGGTAGTGAGGCCCTGCTACAGGTTGCCCAGAGAAGCTGTGGCTGCCCCATCCCTGGAGGTGCTCAAGGCCAGGCTGGATGGGGCTTTGGGCAACCTGGTCTGGTGGGAGGTGTCCCTGCCCATGGCAGGGGGTTGAAACTGGGTATTCCTTAAGGCCTCTTCGAACCCAAACACTATAGGTTTATAGGCAGATTGATAGAATCATATTTCAGCATGTCATGACTAAGTATTTAGTAATATGCATCCATAAAACATTCAGGCTTTCATGTCTGTCATCTTCCATGGTCCTTCCATACTCCATCCAATTACAGACAACAATTTTCAAGTACATAAGGCTATTTTACTACAACTGGTAGCACAGGTTCATGCCCTTTAAACACTAAGATTTCCTCAAATTTCATACAAAGCACTATTAGTACATTTATGTAAATATTAATGAAGTAGTTACAGCCAAGAAAATGTGGATTAAACTGATGAGGAAGATAACCAAAAAACAGGATCAGCTTACATTTGGTGTACTAATAAAGTACCTTGAAGTCTTGTGCCATTAATAATAAGCTACAATGAAATTCATTATACATTCATTAACTATTCCTCCCTTATCTTCCTGAAACAAAGCTCTATATACCTTCAAGCGAATACAATACAAAAGCCATTTAAAAGTAGAGGAAATCTGATTACTATAACCAAATCAATATATAACACTTAACTGCAGAAATCAGTCAGTGTATGTCAGATTTAAACAGTGATATATTAAAAGCTGCAAAAATTCTAAGGACAGTTTGTTATCTCTGGAGTTGGAAACACTTAGGTTTGCTACTGGCAGGCAGAATAACTGTGCTAGCTTTCCAGAGAAGGAGTGACAGAGAAGAGAAGAAAGGGGTAGAGGATAAAACCCCAGACAAACTACAACGTTGTTAATGGATGTGAAAAAAGTAGAGTTTTAGTTAAAAATAAGGGGGACCATTATCCTCCTCCTTATTCTCCCTTTCTTCTGCCCTCCCACCAACTGTGGGGATGGGAACATCACGTTCTTGTGGTGGTGGCTTTTACACCCATTTGCAGAATAGCTCTTGAGAAGGAGTAAATTTTTTTTCCTATTGGCCCCCCAGGTTTCTGGGGGGCTCGTCTCTCCAGAGTCTTATGCTTGATTCATTTGTCATAATTTATTTTCTGAACGTGGACTGCTCTTGGTATCAGTCAACTGTCCTTGCACTGCCAGAGTATTTCTTATTTTTTATGTTGTTCCATCTGACAGTGTGCTCAGTTCCAGCTGCCAGACAGAAGGAAATGTTTTCCAGGAAACCCTATGCATTCCACAACCTGACCAAAAATATCCGTTACCATGGATTAATAGGTCCTACCAGTCTCAATAAAATGCCTTCAAGATAAAGTAAAATACAGGGCTGTCCAGAATATCATTTCCATTCTCAAATGCGTAGTCTAAGGATACTTCTAAACACACTCCATGATCTGTTCTCTGCTAGAAATTCCAACTCACTGGAAGACTGATATCACTTCATTTCTAGGTTCAGTTCTTCTCATCCTCCCATAATAGTACATACTGATTTAAAGGAGCTTTTTACTCTCCCCTTAAAAAGAATGTAAAATAGACAAAAAAAAGGCGGGGGGGAGAGAAAAATAGAACACGGTACAAACCAGCTTGGCATTTTTTCATATACTGTCTTCTCCTGCTAGTTTCAAAGTGCTCCTATGATTTGTAGACATTGCATGTTAGACAATACTCACGGTTCACAGTCTGTCTGCTCCTCTTGCTTACGCTTTCGTTCTGTCACCTCTCTCTCCTGTTGGCCTCTCATAATGTTTCTTCTATGAGCTCCCTGCAAGCTTCTTCCTCCTTTTTTCTTCTGGTTTAATTTGGGATTTTAGGATTGGAAAGAGAAAATAAATCTTTAGGTTACTGTAAAGCAAGATGATTGAATCCTTGTCTCAATAAACAGGTGAACCTACCTACACTATATCTCTGAAGCAACTCTGGTTCATGGAACAACCTGACAACAGTTGGCTTTCCCTGCAACTAAATACAAGACTTCCATATGATGATAAACTCTGATTTTTTTAGTCCTTTCCCCCCTTCTTCCTTTTCCAATTGGAAGAAAATATTCTGACCACCACAAAAATGAAGAAATTGCAAATGACTGGGAAAGCCTTATATCTTTCAAAAGCTTATTTCAAGCCAAATATTCTCTTAGAAGCATTCAAGCAAAAAAGACCCAAACAAACACAACAATCGAAATAAAGTAAATACCATAGCTATAACAACAAAAAAAAGCCACTGAAAAAAAATCTGAAAGAACTATTTGACAGAATAATATTCTGCAACTTTTATTCTGCATCTCTGTATTAGCCAACCACAAGGTTCCAACATTGAGATCTGGCATAAACTTCAGTTAATGCCCTGTCCCTGGAGGTGTTCAAAGCCAGGCTGGATGGGGCCTTGGCCAACCTGATCTAGTGGGTGATATCCCTGCCTATGGCAGGGGGGCTGGAGTTAGATGAACTCCAAGGTCCCTTTCATCCGGAAAAAAAAAAAAAAAAGTATCTTCAGTGATACTACTTTCCTTTATAATAAATAGATCAGTACAGCGAAATTATACCTTGTCACACTCTTGCTCTTCTCCATCATCTTCAGAATCAGAAGTTGATGTAAAAATGATTTTTGTAGCGTTCTTCCTTTTTGGTTCAGCCTCTTTTTTTCCTTCTTTTTTGTCAAATTCTTTCTTTGGTTTTTCCTCTTCCTTCTGACCTTCTTCATCCTTCTTCCCTTGTTTTTTAGACTTTTCTTCTGGTCCTTTTTTCTTTGCTTTCTCCTCCTCAGTAACACTGAAACATGAACAGTACTTAGGCATCATCATTAGTAACAGTGAACTTAAAGCACGTAAATTCCCTCAATTCAGGAAGGTGTGTTTTTTTTTGAAAATACAGAATCTTAAAAATTATGAAATTAATGAACTCTCAGTTCATCTAATGACTGTGGTCAAAAAATGTAAGGTCTTTTTCTAGAATTATTGTCCATTACCTATGCTAAAAAAAGAATGTTATTATTGAATACAAATAATAATAAATGAAGATAATAATTATTAATAGTACAGAGGCCTTAATAAAGCAAACATATTGTGCATGCATAGATGTAAAGTCAAGAAGTTAACGCTCAGAAGTTCTCCACATGCATATGTATCTGCAGGACCAAAGACTATTCCAGAGTGCAAACACTAAAGTAATTCTTATGTTATAATTATTTAAGGTGTACATACACCAAAACTGTGCATTTGCTAACCTACAAAATATTATGCTAATGCTGAACTTTCTTTCAGTTATAGGAAAAACTTGAGGCCTGGCCCAAGGACAATGGAGGGTAAGTATAAAATTTAGGTTGCTGACAGTGTTGGAATTTGGTCATACCATCAGAAGAGAATTTTGAAACAAAATGTAACAAATTGACATTTTCCTTTTGTATGATCTTGCCTTCCTCTTATCAAGTATCTTTTCACACAGCATGCAGTTACTAAGTTAATAAGGATTTTTGCACAGACTTCACAAATCAGGAAGGTTAGGATCTTCTGTCTTGATTTATATAATTATATACCTTGAGTTATGTAATAGTATTCATACACAATACTATATAATAGTAACTCAAGAGTTAATATAGAATCATAAACAACATCAAAACAAACAGTAACTCATATTGAACAGTGGAGGGGAAAAAAAAACAATCAGGAACTAAATATGATGTCTTCACATACAGGACAATGTTAACAATGAAGAAGTTTTATATTACAATAAACAACTCACAGGTCACTCTCGGAAATACAAGGTGTTTTCACCAACTTGGGTCTCCCTCTTGGTTTTGGACTCTTCACTTCAGAAGCTAGTTTTTATACGGAAATAACAGGTTAGTCCACAGCTACCATCTAATTCCTTGTCTCTGAAGAAAGATTCTTACTCAAGAGATGTTACACTTAAACCAAAATAACTGTTTTTATACAAAATTCAAGTGTTAAGTGAGTACCAGCCTTAAATCAAGATCTCTTTGAAATATTAGTGCTATTTCATACTTCGGTTATTTGCTAACCACAGGCTCAAACTACCAACTCTCGTATTTTCTGCACTCTGTGCAATTACAGTTTGTTTTAAATGTTGCATAACTGATATAAACAAGCCTGAAATCAGAGAATCAGAAATAAGTGTAAAGAAGTCGTTTAGTGTCCACATTTACATGGAGCCTGTTTAATGCCAGTAGCTTTCGGTACACCATGGAGCTTCCTTAACTTGGTAGCAAACAACTTAAGTTCTACCACCATACCAAGGTATATAGAAAAGCTTGGCATTTCCTCACATTTGCCATATTGTTGCAAGACAGTATATCTGCCTTCTTGGCATTTAAACCCATGGAACTGTCAAACAAAAACACTCAGTGCACTGCATTTACAGATTTTCAGAATGTGCTTGTCTCACCACATGTTCACTGTGGTATCAGGTGACATAATAGTGTTTAAATTTCTGTTGGTATTAGTGTAGAGCACTGTTAAGCAAGAGATGCATGCATCATATTGGCACTAGAAAATGCTGCATAGTACATCTTACAAAAAGGTATTTTATGTAAAGGGCAAAAGCATCTCATACAGATCCTTTCCTGCTCTTACAGACAGTAGTTAGTGGAAACAAAATACATTTTAAAGACAAAAGCACATATGACTATTACAAATGTACATTTAGTAAATATAATGAAATTGTGGAGGACAATGTAGATTTAATTTCCTCGCAGCTTCCAAGGCAAAAGCAACTGAGTCTAGTTAACTGGTTGCACTTTCTCTAAGTTATTTTCATATTGTCAACAGACAATACAGATGAGTATAAAGTATTACCTATCTGTTTCCCAGACTGTATGGTCATACAATGTACTTAACTGCTCCAAGAACTGTTTGCTAGTGAAGTAGTTAATAACCAATCCAAGAATATCTGCAAGCTTACCACAAAGCTTCCAACAAATCGGATCATAGCTACCTTCAAAAAAAAACAAGCACTACTGGATTTGCAGCAAATGTTTCAAATTATATATTTTAAATAAAGTCGTTTTACTTTCACTTCACTTCCCTGTCAATCTACACAGATCGTTTTATTGTTTTAAATATTTTTAAATGAGTCTCTCCTACTCTTTGCTTGTTTTTATTGTTCTCTGAGCTCCATCTACAGGCATCATCTCCCCACAGCTCTCTTACTCATGCTTTAAGGATGTTTTTAAACCTTTGCAGAGCAACAGTGCACGAAGAAATCTTATTGCATAGTCCATAGTTTAGCAGTGTTCTACAAAGAATGCTTTTCTGAAGGGGACACTTGTACCCCCCGAAACAATTACACTTATTCAGAGGACTGAGCATTAATGCTAACAATTTAAATCCATTTATGTCCTAAAGGCTCCAGTTTGAGATATGATATATTTTCTCATAACAATCTATTATCAAGCACTGTCCTTAGCGTAAGAAAATACTTTGCAGTAGTTCAGGAGGAAAGAGGCAGTACAACCTCTCTAATTATACAAAGGTATTTCTGTAACAGAAAAAAAAAAATCCTTTAAGGTTACCTGCTGGTCTTCCTCTTTTGGGGCTTACTTTTGGAGACCCTGTCACAGGAGTTGCTGCTGCAACCGCTGCTGTTGCCACTACTGCTGGTTCCTCAGCTTCAGCTTGTTTTTCAGCCTAATTTAAGGAATGCATTACCCAAGTGAAGAACAGCACCAACTGTTGCTTCTTCAAACAACAGTTTTAAATGTTAGCATTACTATACTATTATATATTATTAATATATCATACTACTGTATTGTTTCTCTATGTGAAAAAAATCAAATTTAGTAACAGTAAATCTTAAAAAGACATCACTTGTTTTATGTGCTCCATACCATGATTACCTCATACAGTAATGTTTCAAATAATTTCAGCTATTCATCATTCATCTTCAGAAAAATAGAACTATCTTGGTACAAGGAAATAAAAGAATGATTTACAAGAATCCTTAATATCACCGTAACAGCATGTCAAAACCAAGTTTTAAGCAGGTAAGTTCATTTTTTGCCCATACAGAAATATTCTTAGATGCCATCATCTTCCCTAGCAGTATCACAGCATCTGATCAGTAGATGGAGCTACTCAGAAAAACACCTGCTCTGTAGCTAATTATCCACAATGGAAAAATTGATGAGCTGCACTAACCAGACATAATAAACTTCATCCATACAGTCATCTTAGAGGGGCTGGGTTGTAAAGAGAGAGAGAATCTATGAAAAAGAAAAATGATATGCATCTCCCCACAGAAACATTCCATAAAAAGAACATAGAAAAATGTTTGAGAAAATATTCACAGAATTTAGTGTAGTGGATACAGAAGCATCAGCTTGCAGAAACAGAAAAGTTAGTTACAAACACATTTATCTTCATATTGTCTTTAGAAACAAGTAATAACGAGCTATTTAGAAAGAATGAGACATACTTAAATCAAGGCTGAAGCAGAGGTACATCTCACATAGACAGATTGTTTAAGTAAGACAGAAAAACAACTGATTTTTTTTAAAACAATTCCAAGATGAGAGAACACCTTGTTTCTTTCAAAGGCATATAAGGAATGCATTCAAAGCCATGTAACTGCATAGACAACACTTATCTGATCTGTGAACATTCACCACATCCCTTGGAATAACTATTCAAGCTCAGGAGCAATGCATCCCAACAAAGAGGAAGTCAGGCAAAAATGCCAGGTGGCCCTCCTGGCCCAACTCCAGCAGAAAAAGGAAGCCTACAGAGGGAGGAAGCAAGGACAGATGACCTAAGAGAAATGTAGAGATGCTGTCTGAGCAGTCAAGGATCAAGTTAGGAAACCTAAAGCCCAAATGGAATTGTTTCTGGCCAGATACAACAAGAAGGGCTTTTTTAAGTACTCAGTGACAAAAGGAAGATTAGGGAAAACATAGCCCCTTTGCTGAAGGAAACAAAAGGCCTGGTTACTCAGGACAACAGAAAGGCCCATGTGCCAAAGAGCACAGTCTTTCCCAGCAGGGCTGGCCTTCAGAAATCCCAGATTCCAGAGGACAGGCTGTAAGACTGGAGCAAGGAAGATGTACCTCTGGTGGAAAAGAAGCAGGTCATGGAATACTTCAGCAAACTAGACGTTCACCAGTACACGGTGAATCCTGATGGGATACACCCATGAGTGCTGAGGGAGCTGGCAGATGTGATTGCAAGGCCACTCTACAGTCTTTACTTGGTCATGGCAACCAGAAGGAGTAGAGTGCATCCTCTGTAAATTCACATATGAAACCAGACTGTGAGGAGGCTGAAGTAACCAGCCATCCAGAGGGACATGGACAGGCTGAAGAGGTGGGCTGACAACAAACCTCATGAAGTTGAACAATGAGAAGTGCGGAGTCCTGCACCTGGGTAGGAACAACCATACCGGGGGCCACCCAGATGGAAAGCAGCTGTGTAGAGAAGGACCCTGGAGTCCAGGTAGACACCAGGTTGAACACGAGTCAGATGTGTGCCCTCGCTACTGAGAATGCTAAAAGTATTCTGGGCTGCATTAGGCGAAGTATCACCAGCAGGTTGAGAGAGGAGATCCTTCAGCTCTACTCTGCATTGGTGAAGCTGCACTTGGAGTACTGTGTCCAGTTCTGGGCTCTCCAGTACAAGAGACACATGGACGTACTGAAAAGAGTCCAATGGAGGGCCACTAAGATTATCAAGGGACTGGAGCACATCTCCACTGAGAAAGGAGCCTTGGAGTGGATCTTATCTTGTGTATAAATATCTGAAGGGAGAGTGCAAAGATGGAGCCAAGTTCCTTTCAGCAATGTCCCGTGGCAACACAGGAGGCAACAGACACAAACCGAAGCACAAGAAGTTCCATCATCAAGAAGCAGTTCTTTTCAGTGGGTGATGGAGTGGAAATCTTCAAAAGCCACCTGGACATCACCCTGGGCAACCTGCTCTAGGAGGCCCTGCTTGAGCAGAGGGTTGGACCAGATGGCCTGCAGATGTCCCTTCCCAGCTCACCCATTCGGTGACTCAGCAATGGTCCGCAGTAATTCCAACTTCTGGTTAAACCACCTACAACAAGCAGCACGTGCCAAACACAAAACTGAAGCTGCTAAGTGTGACAGAAGAAACCATCCGGGGCCTGAAATGTGTTATGACACTAAGAAAACAACAATGCCAAACAAACCAAAAGACACCACAGCCGGAAGGTTTGAGTGCATTATGAAAGAGTACAGAATGAGATCTCTGTTTTAATGTCACCTGAAAGGCTTCTCTCCCATTTAGAAGCTGATATCAAATATATGCACACTCACAGATATACTGTCAATTCCTTGCTGTTTCAGACTTTCCTTCATTGAATATTATTTTAGATTTATTTTTAAGATTTTTTGATAAAGTACTCTTTCAATTATTTTAATTGTTTTTATAAGAATATATAAATGGCTATCTTTCTTTTTCATGAAGCAAATGATACTTAGTATGTTACCTACCTATGGCAAACACACTAAGGTCCACAAGTACACCTTTGCACTCATCCCTGCTGTCAGCACTAATGTATCATGTTAAAAATCAGGAAATAGTTTCAAATTAAAATTAAAACTTTGCCTCACTTTAATCTATTTTTTATTTGGATCATTGCCCCGATCTAGCTTGCTATGTGACCACATGAATGCTGATGCTGGAGTACACTAAGCTAGCAGTTGGAACTGCTTCTTTCATAAGAACACCAATTTTTCCCAGGTAGAAGAAAGTGCAAAAGCACAAGCTCACAAAAGTGGGAAGTATTTCAGGTGTTGGTTCAATGTGTAGATGACATTAAACATTTTTTTCAGAGCTTCAAGACAAAATAATTTATGTTAGTTTTTCTTATTTACACTGGACTATTTGGGAAAAAAAGGGAAACTCCCTACTCTGCGCTGAGTTCAAACAGAATTATGGCTTTTAAAACATTCATGAGAAAACTGCCATTCCTGCAAGTCTTCCAGCTATTTGGAAGGGATGGGAGAGTGAAAACAAAACAAAAGTCAAGCAACTTATGCATAATCTGTCACAAAAAGAGTGATACCAGTATTATCACATCCAAATATAAATAATTAGCCATACTGTTACCTTTCTTTTTCTTCCTCTTCTAGCAGCTTTAGGAATAGACGCATCACCTGTTTTCACCACATCCTGTGTAAATTGAAAATGGTGCTGAGTTTTAACAGAAGAAAGAAATCTTATGAAGTGATAAAAACACACTGTTCCCCTGATTTTTAATTGAACTCAGACAAGCCAGATTAAAGTTTGCTCTCTGCCAAAAGCTTAAATTCCTGTTAATTTCAATGAGAAGTTTTAATCTGCGTCAACAGATATGAAGTTTTACAGCTTAAACTGCAGTTCTGAGACTGTCACACTAGCAGTAACTGTATGTAACTTCCCAGTACATAAAAATAGTTTTCAATTAACTGACATAACATTAAGATGTTCTTTACTATGCAGGAAAAGATGAGCTTTCACATACTTCTTTATTGTTTCTTTCAGAAGGTACATCATCTTCCTTCAAAGTATTCATCTCTTTTTCCTCTTCTTCCATTATTGTACTTAAGCTGTTATCCCTCTTAGTGGGCAACTGCAAACAGAAACAACACAGAGTCAATGGAAAAGTACTTTGAAGAAACAAAAGTTAAATGAGCACATGGCTAATAACCATCATGCTGCTTTTCTCTTTTCAGCCTCCCTGTATACACGCTTCTTTCTTATGTACACTTTGAAAGTATAAGGCAGGACCACTTTCAAACATATTGCAGATTGATGTATTCTGATAACTACGTATTATGATGGAAATTCAAGACCATTTTGTTATTATGATAATGTAACTACTTTTTCACTGCATCACCTTTACGTGAGTATTTCTAAATGTTCATGCCAAGATTCAACTGAATCAGCTCAGGCATACAGATGGATTGCAGTCACAGACATCTATCAAAGACTATCACTATTAAACAAAGACTTCATGTAGACCACAAACAAGTTGTTTAATCATGTGAGACAGTAATTAGTGATAAATGGTCTCACCTAACCTGTGCATTTTTCTTCTTTTTTTACACCTTAAAATACTAATTTTCATTTTAGACAAGCAGGTAGATTTGAACATCAAGTTTGTAATAAATTACTTGGAGATAATCAACATTTTTCTTGTGGTCTAGGTATGCGCATTTTTCTTTTTCTTCTTTTAAATTTCTTTTCACATTCTCTACTCTAATGCTATTGCTTTGCCCAACTTTCAAGCACCTATTATGAAATTCCCTTTAATAGTAGCTACAGGTCTTAAAATTTCAAAATTGAACGAAGTATCACAGGCAGGGGGCTATCACATAATGTTGATAATCACTTACTGCCATATTATATAACAGAAGGCTTTGTTGTGTTTTTGTTCACTTTTTTCAGAGTGCAACTTTAAGTACATTAAAACCACAAGAAGTCAGAGTACAATGGTTAGAAGCATATTATAACTACATCAATATCAATAGCAAAGGACTAAATCTGCTACAGACATTGTCTTAAACTGGTAAAATGATTGAGACTCATTACATAAATCTATCCCTTCAAGACATTCCATTCCATTTTGGTGTTCAAAGGGCTACGTAGGGTCTTTGTATTTTTCTTTCAGAGAGCTAGATCAGGACAGCCAGGAAGCACTCCTCAGTGGAAACACGATGACATTGACATATTCACTCACACAAGGTGCTTGCTGCATACATTGACAATGAAGCGAACTGATGAACTGGTCCAGCACAAAAAAAAAATAAAGTTTTCCCTTCGCAGTAGCAAATGCTGGGAGAAAAATGCTTTTATCAACGTTGTTCTTAGGCAAGGAAGAAGAATAACAACTGGTTTACTAATTCTATGAGGAAATTACATATTGAGAAGTGTTCCTGAAGTATACTTGACAGAACCCAAATTAGACGGACCTTCCAAATGTGCTGGTACAAAATTACGAACACTCAAAGCAGCAACAAGTTGGGAGAAATAACTCAAATGCCTCCACAGTTTCCAACTCAACACAACAACTTCTGACACCTATTTTTAAATGGAAAGTCTTTTTTCCTCTTGAAAAACAAGCTTAGAGCTCCTAGACAATCCTCCAGGAGGTATATTCAACTATGTATTAAGTACACTGGAAATTCTTCAGTTTCAATGCTAAAGGACAGCCACCTACACCTACAGTAAAACTACAAGAAAGCTTGACAAATAATCAACAAGAAATCTAGCATAATTGAGACAAGTCTATTCAAGAGTTAGACACTTGTTTTAAGGGCACTGACTGTTCTGTAGTGTATTAATTTCCAGAAGTGACTTAAAAATAAATGAGATGCCATAAACTTATCAATATCAACTGCATCACATTTTTTGTCATTTTAGGATTCTAGTCTCTTTCAAGGAAAAAGGAGATGACAACAATTCTTCCACACTGTATGGAAAATAAAAGACATGAACAAAACAAAACATTCAAGAATAGAGAAAGTTCAAAGCAATGTGCTACACTCTGTTATCATTAAGAAAGCAGTAAGCTACAAAGATTCCCCTCTTAAAAAGCAGACTCTGTACAGCAGCAAGAGGCTTGAAAAAATGGTATTTCAGACAGAAATGCATTTTCTAAGTATGAATACAATATATTTAAGAACATAATTTGTTTCAGAAAATTTCAATGTGTGCACACGTTGACAAGGCAAAGAAGCTAAACCTTGTCTGTATAAATTACCAATTACTCACAAGGCACTTCCCTGACCCTGAATTCAGTTGATACAACTATCTTTTTATCGGTTATATATTGCCTTTTCTATCTGTTCCCATCGCAGTGTGTGGCGTAATTCAAACTGACTCGACTGTTCAGGCAAATACACTGAAAAACTCCTTCAGTCCCAAAAGAACTTAACTTCTCTTCAGCTTTTCTTAGTTCTCTTAGGCTTTTCAGGGGAAAATATTGTAACTGAATAGACAGTTGTACCAGACAATGATATTACCAAGTCTTCAAAGAGAATAAGGTAATCTTAAAGTTACATGTTGGCAATCATTTTGAATTTAACGTACCTAGGAAATACTAATACATATATTAAGTCTCATAATAACCAAACGTGAAGTAGTTATGACAGGAAAGTACAGTTCAAGTATTTATATAAAAATTTGACAATAAGTTTTGACTTGAA